TATTATTCATTACGGTTCCGGTATCGTATAGTTAATCTCGCACACCATGGTATGCCTAAACCGTACGTGCCACGGGTAGAAGCCCTCTCCCTGGACCAAATTTTCTCTCCTTTTACGCGCGGTATGCGCTGCAACGGACTTTCTTACCTCGCCTGCACTTCCGTTTGCAATTCGACGATAAGCTAGCCGTATACTTTTTAAATCGTTCGCTGTAAAAAATAATTACACGCGTACAGTGTAATTTCGTGGAGAATTTTATAAGTGTAAAATGTGAAAGAAAATTAGAATTTATTCGTGCAGGTTCGAAAGAAGTGGTGCAGTAATTCGAAAAATGTTCGAATCTTTCTCAAGTAACCTGAAGTATTTAAAGAGGCTAAATTCTTCTTCTCTTTTTTCTTTCTTTTTTTTCTCTTCGAGATAACAAAAACTTTCGGAGATTCAATAAAAACGCGCTTGACCGCAGGCTCGAATTTCGAGCCCTCGAATACTTGGAATAGTTGGAGAAGCTTTGCTACGAAGCGAAAAGGTGTTTGTACGACCTCTCGAATGTCGGCTGAAGGGATTCCTGGATATTATTTGCCCTGGCATACAACGGCCTCCAGCGTAGCCTCGAAAAGTATTTTGCACAGGCGATATTTACGCAGGACAAACACACAAAAGGTACGGACGATGGCGAGGAGGGAAGGCGAGGGACGCGAGAGAGATACAAAACTAACGCGGCTGGCACGACACGGGGAGTAATAACTTACGATATCGTGAACACTCGGCCACGCATACCACGTCCTGCGGTTTTGCGCTAAACGAAAGAAGTATGCATTTCCCTTCTTTCTCGCATGCCCGCCAGCCTGCGGAATAAACGATGATGCAGCGCGGGATATAATTCGTTGAAACATTAATGACGATTCGACGAACTGGTCGTTGAAAATATACTCGATTCCGATAGCGTTTTTTTTTTTTGTTTTTGTAAGTGAATTCCTTTCTAGAGGATTGAAAGGGTCAGAAATAGAACTGATGAATGAAAATTGAGTATTTTAATGATATCAAGGAATAATCAGTTTTAGGTTATAAATAAGTTTTAATGGAAAAATAATAATTCTTCTAGATTGGACGCTTTGCGGTGTTAGTTCTATTTTTTTATATTAGATGGCAGCACGTGAAATGGCGAATTTGTAAATGAAACTTCGAACCACAATAAACGTAGTCAAAATTTCATTTGAACGAATTAGTTTGTTATTATAAAAGTCTGAATATTAGTTATAAATTTCCCAAACGCATTTTCAATTTCCTCAGTTTTAATTCATGAATGAAAATCCCTAGAATTTAATTAGAATCCATTTTCTAGTTTTAGTACAACCTTAACCTAACTTTTTCAACGAAACAAGTCTTGCATTTAAAACAGTAGGCTGGAGATTTCACTTTTGCATATGACAATCTACATGATTCTAGTTCATGAAAATAAGATCGAATCTGCTAGTATACGAACAGCACGATTTCATATGCAACGCGGTTTAATACATTTTTATTACAATTGTTTTATACTCAATTTTGCATATCTTCATTTTTTCACAACTAATGACATGGATAATAGATGTTTTATTATGCTTAAACTACTTTCGAATATATAATGCATGGCGAATAGTTACGACTACCGTTTCCTACGTATTAGCATTCAACACGGCGAGTCAAAGTTGAAGAGAGCGCCACGTTGGGGAACCGTTCTGTGCCTACAATCAGGCATTTCTCTACTACTACGGTTGTGCGCGGTAAAGTCCACAGTTTTAACGCATCGAAATGAACTACATAGGAAACATGCAAAGCCACATTTTCGAAACTCTTATTTCGAAACTTTCAAATGTATAAAAAAAATTATACTTCTTTATGCTAAATAATTTTGCTCAAGTTATATTCAACGTAGCTCTTTTTGTATTGATTTTATATTATTTATTTATATGAAAAATGCTGAAACGTTTGTATATGTTCATTGATAATTCAATAAGAAAAGGCTAGTCCACTTCTAATTACGATAAATGCATCGGATACAATATCGTGATACGAAAAACTAGCAAGCATCGTATTTCGCGTAAATTATTAGCGAAAAATACGTACGCTGCTTATCTAATCCCCGAAGGTGTGCTCAAATGCGGTTCACGTTCCGCACCGAGATAACTTTTTCCAGATATAAACCAGAAGAAGTTAACCTCAACAACACTGGCTACACGCGGTCGAATGCGCGGGTGCCGCGAGTCAAAGTGTGCGCATGCGCATCCACGGTGGAATGTGCCCTCTCCCCACGTACAACCTCTTCCCGTCCCGCAACTAGCGATGGATTCGAGACGTTTTCAAGTACTTTAAATATTATTCGAAATAAAAAAAACTAAAGAATTCTCAAAAATTTTATATATAATATCAACTAACGAACAAAAATGTTCGTGTAATAATTACTATGTAGCTTTCTTGCGTATATAATATTACAAAAAAAGTAATTAACATGAATTCCGAAGTTATTTTATATTTGTATCAAATTTAAAACTTTGCAGTTAACAACTTCGAATTTCTCTTCTTTTATGACTCGAATACTTCTTTTAAGTATTACACATTTATTCAGACGGTTTAATGTTTCGCATGTAGTTCAAGGTTCTGACACACTTAAATTCGAATAATATTCGAGGCAATTCGAATCTTTATACATAGCTCGAAAGCTGGCATCAGAAAGAATTGAGTGGCCATCACTACGTGTGGCGCACCTTTCCCCTCTACTGGGTTGATCGCGTTGTCGGCCCTCGCCAACCCTCTTCGTCGCACTACAATTGTGTGGCTCACTTCACTCGGCGACGTGCCGTCGTACGGTGGCCGTCGAAATGTGTATGTATGAACGCGGTACACGATATTTGAAAGTGTGCATTCACCACAGAAAATTCTTTACGTGCGAATATCACACGTGCGTGCGCTTCTCAAATAGAAACCGTTCGCAATCGCGTTATTGTTTCAGTTTCTACAAACTCTTAGTTGGATGAATTTTCTTTTAGCGGGTAAAAATTCGATAAATCCTTGTGGAGAAAAAGTGTATGGAGAAAAAGTTACAAAGTATTTGTAAAAGTCTATATTTAATTTTATTAAAAATAAACACTAATTTAACAAAACATATAACAATCATAATAATTTTTATAGCATCGAGCAATTTTTATTATATTAATTTGACGTAAAAGAGACATGAATTTCTCTACCACGCATGCTCCACATTCAACATCTCTGAAGTATGCAGATGAATACAAAAATAAAAATGTTTTATAACGTTCGTTCATAACATTAACACGATATTTAAGTATATGATATTATGTACAATATAAATGTTTCACTATTCAGTATATGTTAACATTGAAACATTGAACATTGTACACGTTTTATATAAATCACGTTGTAAAGATATTTCACTCTCATTGCCCGCGCTTTTGAAAAATGGCGTCCTGCTATTTCAATACATTGTCAATTAAAGTAAAGACTCAAAACGATGATCTCACAAATTCAAACATTTCAATGTACGGATCTATCGCGATAGAAAGCTACGAAACATTTGATTTTCATCGCACGTGAACAAAAAATAGAATGTAAAAAAATGATTACCTCTTCTTTACGTTCCCGATGATTTATCTGAACGAAAAGAACATCCCGGTGATGCACGTAATCCGGTTAATCCAACGAAACACAAAGAAGCCTGCTTTGGGCGTGCAACAAGTGGTCGTAACGAATAAACACTTTTGTGTAAGAATACTATAAAACGCACAGATCACAACACAAAATCGCACGTTTGCCGCCGCTTATACGAGATTCTCTGATCTCACTGAACTTCGACGCGGATAAAACGAAATTCCTCTTTCTCTCTCACACGTTATTCGAACCGCGGGAAAACCGTTCTGATGGTATCGCAAACGACATTCTTACTCGAGTGAAATTCGTCAACTTCGTTGATAATTGTGATACGTACAAGCCTTTTGTTGAAATTTAGGGCACAGTTCTATAAAACGAAATATGTAAGGTTCGACAAAACACCAACACAACATACTGCACCGGCGGCCGGCGACTGACTGACTAGCGGCACACGCCGACTTCACATAGTCGACGAACTAACCTAACAGCGGAATCAACTTGCACCCCACGAAACTCCACACGAACTACATGAATTATTAAAATTTCCCGATAACATTCTATATAATGAACTGTACCATTTTGATTTTGAAAATTTTCAAGAAATCTTATGTATTCCAACTAAATCAATTATTGCATATCACGAGTTCCTTTGCATTCATTTACGTATAAAAATTAATTTTTACGATTAATTGTTGGAATTCTCCTAAGAAGTTTATTATAATATTTTGTAATTAAAACACATTACTTGTTGCTGTAAAGTGGAGTAAATCGTTTAACATGAACATATAAAAAAATGTATACATAAATGGACTATTTAATAACATATTACTAATGCAACATAAAAATGTTGAAATTGATTTATTTAATAGTACTTTTTGTATATTACAAATGTATAATGTGTCACAACACATTTTTTTAAATAATAAATAATACATTTGTTTACATAGCAGACATTAATTTTAAAACAATACACATTTATATACATAATCGAAATAAAATATAGAATTTTTTATTTGCTTTAGACTAGAAACATAATTAGAAATATTTGTATTATATGCACAAGTTAAAAACTTGTATAACATGCTAGTAAATAAATAAATCGTTAATAAATGATCAAATTACTTATGTACTGGTGTTTGGAAATAATTAGACTAAAATTTGAAATTTCTTATCAAAGCTTAATAGATAAATCAAAATGCCCGCTAAACGATATCCTAGAAGACGAATGCTGTCATCTTACGGTGAAAAGAGTAAATGAGGAGGTTCTATAAGTTTAGAAAGGGAACGTTTCTGAGCGGACATAGTGGGCGCCATAGTCAGCGGAACTATCTGCAAAGATCACAGTGTGACGTAAACGACGATCTAAACAAGTATCAGCTGTGTAGCAGTCATTGTTCGTATCCGTTTTGGCAGGCGTACAAGAATTCTGTTTTTCTTCGTTTTCTGATCGTCGGGCAGCAGGTCCGACGGGATAAACGGCATACGTATTAGTCAAGAAGACAAGTGGAAAAAAAGGGGGGAGGCTACGAGTTTTCCGTGCAACGCAACCGTGGCTGCGTGCGTGCTCCAGCCCCAGCCCCACCAACGATCTTAGAGACAATAATCGTGTGAAAAACGGGGCAGTACGCGCATAAGCCTGGCCTCGAGCAGCGAGTCAGACGACGGTGGACTCGCTCCGCCACCGTGCAAAAGGTCCCGTAGTTCTCTCCCGACTACCCTACGACCAGCGGACGAGCACCACACCGATCCTGAGATGGAAAACTATCGGTAACGCAATCAGGGCCCTAGATCATCGCGAGCGCGTAGTCAACACACGAAGGGGCTTACCCCCTTCGTAATGACGCTCTCACGTGTATCTTCTTCCTTGCAGAATCTCAAGACGTATCGACGTCGGATTTGCTTTCATATGTGCTGTCTATCAAGCGGTTTTCTTATTTCTTGAAATCTCCTCTCATCAAATAGTCATAGATCTTTTGTACACAAACATAGCATTTTAAAGTTTTTTCTATAAAAAAAAGAAAGAAGAGATACTTAAGTCAAGATAGAATGTACCAATTAGTACACATGCGTGTTAATATTGCGGATTACTATTGCCATCACGGGTAACATTTCCGTGTGCATGACAGCATAATGCAACAGCAGACTTCAAACGGTGGCATTTCCTCCGGGCTTCAGCAGAATGGCTCCACAGCTGACTCTGGTGGACCTCATGCAAATGGCAACGTGACACCGGAATCGGATAATGACATCAATGGTGTTAATGGGGAAACGAATCAGAATTTGGGACCACCGAAAGTAATGGACAAAACCAATCAAGATATTGTGAGACTCATTGGACAACATTTGAAGACAGTTGGACTTAAGTATGTATTCTTTAATTTGATTTCTGTATGTCTGCAAATTTCAGTGATAAGATGTTTTTTAGAGCAAAAGTATATTGCTAATTTATATTGTGATTATGATTCATAAAGCAATCTATATGATTTATGTGCTTCAAACAGAGTATTAAATGCCATAATTAAACCGTAATGGTTTCTTCTTTTCTTATAATAATTTTAAAAGTTTTCTTTGTTCCTTGAATTTTCTTTGTATGTATGCATTTATCAGAAGTATTGTATCACAACCTATCTGGACTGCACACTCTGTGGTGGGAGAAAGCTAATTATAGAACCTTGAAATATAGTCACCAGTATCTGCAAGTTATATTTGTTTTATAATGATGTAGGCAATGAAAAAAAGGTATATACATAATATATGCACAAGCAGTATTTAATCGTAATAAAGCACATTATTATTGCTATTATTAGTATTATTATCATTATTATTACTATTATATTATAATTGTTATTGTTATTATACTTAATTTTGATTGCAATCAAAAAATTTAAAAAAGTATAGTTATTTAAAAGTAAAACTTATCTGAAAATGTGTAAAAATATGCTTTTAATAAAGTTGAGTAATTAATGTTTGACTGTATTCTTCAAGTTTTATATATAATTGACAAAGTGAAATATCTTTTTCAGTCGTACAGCAGACCTTCTTATGCAAGAATCAGGTTGTCGCCTAGATCATCCTGCTGCTGCAAAATTTAAACAGCATGTTATGGATGGAGATTGGACAAAAGCAGAGCATGACCTTAGTGAACTTAAAACATTTTTAAATGGCGCAAATCAAAGTTTAATAGTAAATATTTCCAAATTTAAGAACCTTTAAATATAATTAAATATATATGCTCATGTTTTATTGATATTCTTTATTTATAGGAAATGAAGTTCTTACTATTAGAACAAAAATACTTAGAATTTTTAGAAGAAGGATTAGTATTGGAAGCATTACATGTTTTACGCAATGAACTCACACCTTTAGGGCATAACACAGGTCGTGTCCATCAGTTATCTGCATTTATGATGTGCAGTGGACGCGACGAATTACAGGTATTATATATGTTTCATTGATAATATTCTGTTACTATAATATTCTATTAATGTATTAAACATTTTATTGCAATGTTGTTTATGTATTAATGAACTTTTAAAGATTGAATTTTGTATACATATAGAAGTATTATAAAACTAACCTGTTACTGAAAATTTGATCACTAGCAAATAGACACTTGTTAACAGACACGTGCTGGCTGGGATGGTAAAGGTATAGTCTCGAGAGCAGCTCTAATGGACAAACTACAAAAATATCTACCACCCTCCATTATGTTACCTCCAAGACGCCTTCACTCTCTCTTGTGCCAAGCTGTGGAAATGCAACATCAACAGTGTACATACCATGTAACACATACCCAGGTATTATTGGCTTACTTCAATTTAATTTTCAACATTTGAATAAAATGTTTATATAACTTTAGATAACCTAAAATCATTTTTGTTTTAAAAAATATTTAAATAATTTATTAATTTCTAAATTTAATAAAAAAGTGTAGTTTATTTTTAATATAAAAATATGTATGTTGCAAATTAGACAAGCTTAGAAAATGTCTCGCTGCTTGTGGACCATAGCTGTAGCAAAGAACAATTTCCGTGCCATACTATACAGGTGCTCAATAATCATTGTGATGAAGTGTGGTATTGTAAATTTTCCCCTGATGGTCGTAAGCTGGCTACAGGTTCTAAGGACATGACTGTAATTATTTGGGATGTTGATCCAGTAAGTAAATTATTAAATATGACAAAGTAATAAATGTTTATAAAATTTAATGTTCTATATGAATATGATTTTCTATTAAAAACAGGAAACATTAAAAGTAACACATAGACAAACATTAGAAGGTCATACTTACGGAGTGGCATTAATTGCATGGAGTCCTGATAGCAGTCTTCTAATTGCTTGTGGACCTGAAGATTGTCCAGAGCTTTGGCTTTGGAGCATCGACCCACCTGACTATGATTTACGTGCAACAATAACTCAACATACCGATGACTCACTTACGGCTTGTGCTTGGTATCCTGATTCACGTAAATTTGTAGCAGGAGGACTTCGTGGACAATTCTATCAATTTGTAACATATCAATTACATTTATAATATAATTAATTTCATCTGTATAGTGAATGAAATAGCGCATTAAATACCTAAACATGACATTCTAGGATATAGAAGGTAATGTCTCAGAATCTTGGGAAGGAGTTAGAGTTAAATGTTTATGGTGCAAAAATGACGGAAAAACAGTTCTGGCTGCTGATTCGCATCATCGAATTCGGGGATACAATTTTGACGACTTATGTGACTTTACAATGTAGAACTTCAATTGTTTTATTATAAATAATATATTATACTAATATTATATTCACAAAAGTATTTAATATTACAGATTACAAGAAGATCATCCTCTAATGTCCTTTAGTGTAAATAAAGCAGATCGACTTGCGCTTCTCAATGTGGCTAATCAGGGTGTTCACCTTTGGGATTTACAAGACAGATGTTTAGTAAGACGTTTTCAAGGTGTTACACAAGGACATTTCACAATTCATAGTTGTTTCGGTGGTGTGAATCAAGATTTCATTGCATCTGGTAGTGAAGGTGAAATATTTAATATAAATATTTGTATTTATAGTGAAAGTGAATACAATTATAATATAATTAATATATGGAATTCTATTATAGATACTAAAGTGTATGTATGGCATATCAAGAGGGAGCTACCTATAGCAATTCTAACAGGACATAGTAGAACAGTAAATTGTGTGTCATGGAATCCCGTGTATCATCAAATGATGGCTTCTGTATCAGATGATTGCACAGTAAGAATATGGGGACCTAGATCATCTTCTCCAGAAAAAGTTGATAGTGACAAGACTGGTAAGTTTATTAAATTTAGCGTTTCTTCAAAACTATCGAGTTTAAATAGAATTATAGGATTATGCCTACAATAATAATATTAACAATTTTTTTTAATGAGAATAATTTCCAATACAGTACAATATTTTCAATACGAAACAATATTTATGAATGTAAAATATAAGTGTACAAATATTCATGTCATTAATTTATACAAATTTTGTGTTTAAATTTTAGTACCAATAGAAAGCAACTCCTCAAATGGTAGTGGATGGCATGAAATGGTATCGTAGCGAACTACAGTATATCAGTGTTCCCATGACTTCATGGTGTTCAAAAGACTATCATATTGATCGTCATACTGACTCTTTCCTGCCCCCAGCAACTATCTCTTTATGCCTCATTACTGTAAGTCTGGGTAAATGACTACTATTGAGAGTAAATGAGAGATGTGTTAGCATCAATTGCTAATTGATTAAGCAACTAATGATCGGCTGTTACTTGAAAACCTATTTCTTCCTGATTAACAGATTTTATATGAAATTTTACGGTTCGTTTGCCTGTCCAATTTAAATTTAAATAATTTGCTGATGTGAACTAATGATGTAAACTCTGAAAACGAAGAACAGCATAATGCGTTGGCTAATATAAGTTATGACAAGATAGAAATTCAACAAATTCCGTCGTAGCATTAATGTAAAGGAAAAAATTAATGTGCATTAATAAGCATTGAACAAGCAAAGAACATTGCGAAAAATAAAATTTGTGGTTTTGCGAGATCGTCATAAAAATACTTTGTTTTGACAAAAACTATGTCAAATTTAATCTTTCTAAAAAAATAAAATGCTGTAAATAACAATTTCATGCTTAATGAATTTCTAATTAATTTTTTAAGTCGTTGATGAAGGTGATACTATTCTCATTTTTCACTATATATGTAACTGCCATCTTACATTAATATTGTGTGTTTCAAATTGTATGCAGATGTCGTAAAAAATGATAAAACGTGTAGAAGTAATACAAATACTATATGAAAAAAATTTAATTTCAGTAAATAATTTGCAATGATGGATAAGTGAGATAAATTATGAAGTTTATACAAACATTTGAACTGTGTTATGAGACGTACAGTTTGATTCGATTAATCACAAATCCAAAAACTTAACGATTTTACTATAAAAAGAAATAAACTGGATTTGAAAGTTGAGCATGAATCCTAAAATTAGTACCTTCATTCAGTACTGTGATTTTATATTATTAAAATATACGCACTTGGTGTCAAAAGTTTACGAATATTTGCCTTAATATTGTCACAATCGTAAAAATTTAAAGATAGCAATCGGTAGAGTGTATAGATCTCGAATATTTATTTCAAAGCATTGGTTCCTTGATATTAATCAAATATATTTATATATCGCATTTCATTTATTACTAATATTTTGAGTTTTGTTATTACAAAATGATGAAAATTGTCATTTATAACTACAATAATATTTTTAAAAACTAAATTACTAATTTAAAATAAACTTAGTTAAAATTACAAATCAAAAATAAATACATGTGCTATGAATAATTGTTAATTAAACATATATAGTATTACAGCATCTTTTATTGCTGTACCTATTACATTTTTACGTGATACGTAAATTTTTGTTATTCTTAGCAAATCATATAATCAGTCGTTCTTAATTTTCCTCAAATAACTTGCTAATCATCAATTATAAAGAAAACATAAACATAACACAAATTTTTTTTTTTTTAAACATGATAAAGTTAAATGAAATATAATCATAAATGAGAATACAAGAATAAAATATTTGCTTTTCTTCTGTTAAATTTGGTAATAAATGACTAAAACCAAACTGGAGGTCTCACAGTATCAGAAGTCGTAGGTAGAGTATGTGTGTATAAATACTTTCAGAACAAATAATATTATAAACACGTTTACATAACAAGAGAAGTTTACATGCAAAGAAAATGTCTGTAGTTTATGCCCCTAAAATTGTAGTGAGATAATATGATACCAATCATTATTATCATTTGCATTTACCTGTGGTGCCTTAGCACTTTATAATCTAATTAAAAGTTTCCAGGATCTTTTCATAATTTTAATTAACATATAATAATTTGATATAGTTTGCAATATAACAAACAGTAAGTAATTAATTCTACTTAAAAATTAGTCATAAATGACATTCAAATTTAACATACATCTTCATCATACATTTTTCAATAACACATACTTCTTTCTAGTGATTTGTAATACTGATAAAGTAATAGTTATTGTCTCCTTATACATTAAGTATTTTTATATTTGTTCATGAAATACAGAAAAGCAATAAGGGAAATTCTTAGAAGTCTTCTTTTCTATAAGATTAGTATAATATACTAATTTGATATACAAAATATGCCATGATTGACAAACTAAATATAGAGATATGCATAAAAAGCTAATCATTTAAATTATTTTATGTAAATAAGGGGCGATAATATTTCGTATAATTTTACAAATTGAAGAAAGTGACTTTTTATTTAATTAAGTAGAAAGTATGAAGTGGATAATTCAAACGAAAGAGCTACGTTTTAAACAGTATTATTTTATGTTGGATCATACTAAATGATTTTTAAATAGTTTTGGACCAGATATGTATCAAGATTTTTAAAAAATTGAATGAACCATAATAATATTTAAGCATAAAATAATGATATCCTCATATAACAATTTGCGTTTTTACAGTGCAATTGAAGTTGTTTACTAGGACAGCAAATATAATTAGATTATAATATGATTCATCTTATCAAGGAAGTAAAACTTGTTGAAAAACCTTTATGTACATTATTATTATTATTTTGATAATTTTTATTATTATTATTATTA